TTACCTCCATCAAAATATATTGTTGCCGTTTCCGTGAAATCACTGTCGCTGCCCGCCACACTTCGTAAGTGGTAAGTTCAGATCTTCTAGAATGAACAGATTCACGCACAACTATTATTAATGTGTCCATTGTTATCTAGGTTAACCGTTTTCAGTGTTATTGGCCACGGTTTACGTATTTCGTGTATTGTCCAYATAATATCATGTGYCCGTAATAGGTAAATATATTCAATAACGACATCATTAAATCAYATATCATATTAATCAAATTGTAATGTACGCTACTAAATAGGAGGTATGCTATGTCACTAAACAGTAATCAGTAATATGGTATCAATTATACYATTGCCATGCAATTTCTATTCTAAATTCTAAGCTTAATCGATTTATAAAGTTTAATTTAGCTTGATATAAAATAACGAAATATTGAGATTTCAGTATTTTACTGTACATGCAAAAGATAATTATTTGACATACCTATGTTATAAACTTGTTAATTTTTAACTTTGTTATTATTTAAATAATTAGTTTATTATATGTTTAATCAGCTTTAAAAAAAATGTTTTTACTCAATAAATTGTATTATTTCTGAGAACAATTTATTCTTTAAGATATTATATTTTAATTTATATTGATTAATAACAAATAAGATATTAATAATAATTTATGTTAATATTTTTGTTTCAGATAATTTTATGTTGCATATAAATTGTAATCATTATGCCTTGGTGTGTTGTAATCGGCTGTAGTAACAATTTAAAATCTACAAAGCTTCATGAAAAAGATGTGTCATATCACATATTTCCAAAAAATCCACAACGACGTAATGCTTGGATGAAAAGTATTAAACAACCAATTAAGTTTAATGCAGATTCATCTTATGTCTGCTCTAAACATTTTGCTCCTGATGACTTTGAATGTAACAGTTTAAAAGAACAATTACTTAACATCAAAGTTAAGAGACAACTTAAAAGAACTGGTAAATATGAGTATTTATAATTTATATGTATATTATTTATTTATTTTGTACTACTAATACTTTAAACACAATAACCTATTTCATCAATTTAATATAAATTAGACTCAAGTATGCAAAATTTTTTCAGCTATTCCATCTATTAATATGTCTAATACTTCAGAAGGAGAAAAATTTACAAATGAAGCCGATAAACCAGATACAAGTGTAGGTTTAATAAAATATCAAAATATATATTATTAGTTATTACAATTCTCTATGAGAAAACGTAACATTGTAGCTACTACAAAATGTCAATTTTTGGCATTCACACCAGAAAACTAGAACATTCTTTTTGAATATGTCAGAGCACTTAGATTAACCCACAAGACACAAAACATACATGTTAGAGAATATTTGGTTTCAAGATAGTTAAGATCTTTCATTTATATGTGCAGGAAAGTTATGTTCCCTATAACTAGAGAGTGAATTTTTAGGTTCTTACAAATATTTTTAGTTTAATATAGCTCAACTGGGGTAAATATGGACAACTAATTCAGAA